ATTTTTATGCCTTAAGCTCAGGAGTTTTTTTTTCACTGCTGGTCGGATTTGTGTTTAATCGCTTCCCATGACAATGCCTGTAAACTGGCATTAAATTAAAATTTATTTATTTATTTATTTATTTAACCGACTAGTCTCCATCAGTCATAGAGGTATCTCACTGCTCAACGTCGCCGGGTAGGTCTTCGCCCGAATCCTCCTTACTCGCCCCAACGAACACCTCGAGCAAGGGCTCCATTGACGTGGTGCTTGCTGCTCGCCAACTGCGGACGAAGTGAGAGGGGATGCGAACACACCTCTTCGCCACCTTCGTGAACTTGAGGAGGGCTTTTGATACAGTGAGACTGTGGAAAATCATGCAGAATTTAGGCTGTCCAGAACGATTAACGCTCATGGCAGGTCAAATTCCCAACGGGATGATGGTGTGAGTCACGGACAACGGCGCAGTCTCCGAGATATTCGCAGTGACCGATGGAGTGAAGCAGGGCTGCGTCTTCGCGTTCACTCTCTTCAATCTTATGTTCCCCCTCATGTTGATGAAGGTTTACCGTGATGAGCGTCCATGGGAACGCATCGCCTACAGAACTAATGGACATCATCCCAACAGCAAAAGCATGAAGGCTCGGACGTGGCTATCTACGATCACGGTCCACGATCAGCTCTTTGCTGACGACTGTGCGCTCAACATCACGACTGAAGTGGAAATGCAACGGAGAACGGACCTCCTCGCCTCCGGATGCGCCAACTTATGACTGATGGGCATGCACCACCTGTCAAACAACACGCAATACTGCATTCCTCCTTGAATCACTGTCAACGGCCACCAAATCAAAACTGCGGGAAATTTTGTTTACCCCAGAAACACTTTCCAACAGCACAATAATCGACGACGAGGTTGCCCACCGGATCTCCTAAGCCAGCCAAGCATTTGACCGGCTGCAGAACTCCGCGTGGAATCGCCACAGCCTCCACATGAATACTGAAGGTGTGCAAGGCTGTTGTCCTTGCGGCACCTCCCTACAGAGCGAAGACATGGACTGTTTACTTCAACCATGCCAACCATTTTCATCAAAACTTCCTCCGCAGAATACCAAAGTTAAATTGGCAAGACAGGATTCCCGACACGGAAGTCCTAGAACGGACGGGCATCCTTAACATCCACGCCATGTCGAGACAACTGCATCAACGTTGGGGCGACCATTTTGCGAGGATGGGAGACACACGTCTGCCAAAGCAACTCTTCTATGTGATGTCGCCACCGGTGTTCGCCGACCGGGAGGATCAAAACGACGCTACAAGGACGCATTGAAGAATTCTCTTAGGCGATTGCGCATCAATCCAGAGACCTGGGAGGATCTCGCGCAGAACAGACCGGCCTGGAAACGATCAATGAATGGCATCACTGTCATTTACGAAGCAAATCGGATCGCCACCGCCAAAGCCAAACGGGAGGCTCGCAAATCACAAGTGCCTCGTCTTCTCAGGGTCAACCGTTCCCCGATTCCAATGTGCCGCCGCTGTCAACGCGAATCGATCTCGTTGGACACCTTTAAACCCAATGCGCCATCAACTCGATAACATCTAACTCTTTGCGTCCAAAAATATTGTCGATAGAAGCGAACAGGCGAGTTCGCAGATCCTTATCTGCGACTGTCTCTGATGATGAGTTCGAGCGAGAATCAGAAACGTCAGGTAAATAAATATCCTGTTCCAGTGATCGCATCCAGGTATTCTGATCCACTTCTTCTCCCGTTCCCATCCCTGCCGAAAACCCCGCATTGACTGTCACCCGCGTCACTGCTGACCCCCCTGTCAATGTCCCACCGCCACCATCCGCCCTGCCATAAACTCCGCATGGACCGCAGCAGTCAGCACCATCACCTCCGCGTC